GCGAATGCCTACACCCACCTCGAACTCGACTCGGAGACGTAAGCCGAGAGCGGCGACCCCACGGATGCTACGCGTTGCGCAGGGCAACGTCGGAAAGATCTCCCCGGCGCACACGGCTTTCCTGCAGCTCTGCTGGGAGGCTCAGATAGATGTGGTCCTCGTCCAGGAACCCTGGACGGGCTGGAAGGACGGAAACGTGCAACTGAACACGCACCCGGGTTTCGACTCTTTCGTCCCGGTCGACTTCTGGGACAGCGAAGGAACCAGACCAAGAGTATTGACCTACACACGCAAAGGGATAGGGATGACGGTGGAGCAGCAGAGGCCTGTCCACACGAGAGACGTACTGTGGCTGGTGGTCGACAAAACGACGACTATCGTCAACGTTGTACAGACAACCCCGCGACCCCCACAGCCGCACAACAGGATACTGCTAGAACTCAAACCCCCGGAGCGAGCTTTGATCGCGGGGTGACTTCAACGCGCATCACTACTCTTGGGAGCCCGGGACGAGGAACGGGAACCGGGGAGATGACATCGCAGGCTGGGCAGACGGCCACAATCTCTCTCTTATCAGCGAAGTTGGGGTGGCAACCCAGGATTGCGGACATGTCCTGGACCTGGCTTTCTCTAATATCCCTTTTGCGCACGCGCAGGTCAGCCCACAGCTACACCCGGGAGCTGACCACGAGGCCATCGTGGCCGTCATACCACTACTCAAACGCCCAGTGTCACAGGGAGAGGGCCACCCGCAGCCACGGCCACTGTCAGTGCCCGACTCGGCGCTGCCTCGGCTGAGAGACCTGATCGAAGGGGGGCTAGCTGCGATGCCCAATCTGGGGGATCAACCTACTCCGGAAGACCTGGACGGGCAGGCAAGTCACATCGTCGAGCTCTTCTCCCGAGCCATTGAGGCGGTCGGCAAGAAGAGAGGAAAACATGGTAAAGGCGCGGCTTGGTGGACGGAGGAATGCGCAGAGGCCCACAGAGCATACCGTGCTGCCCGCAACCAACAAGCCTGGGAGACGGAGCAAGATGCGCACCTTTATCTAATGGAGAAACGAAAGGCGTTCCTGAGCACGGTGAGGAAGGCTAAGCGAGCATACTGGGCCGGAAAGATCGATGGAGTCGCTTCAGACCGGGGACCTGTACCAGATCATGGGTTGGCGGAAGGCGAGCCTACTGACCAGAGCACCCCCATTGGTTGTGGACAACCAGACGATCGAGGATACTAACGAAAAGGCTCAAGCGCTTCGGGGAGCCCTTCTCGACAGGTTTAGTGCGGAAGATGACGCACCGGGTGACCCGTTTGACGTACCCGTCGTCCCGAGGCGAGCGATTACTTGGCAGGACAATGTTAGCGGAGAAGAAGTGAAGACGGCCACCTTAACAAAGACAACGACCCCTGGTGTGGACGGCATCACAACACGCCTCCTCCAGGCATGCTGGGATGTCATCTCGGAACCGGTCAGGCAGCTATTCCAGTCCTGTATGCGGGCCGGCCACTTTCCTCTGCCCTTCCGCAGAGCTGAGGTGGTCATGATCCAGAAGGCCGGCAGGGATGCCTCCAAGCCCGGGTCCTGGCGGCCGATCGCGCTCCTCTCGTGCCTGGGCAAGGGACTAGAGCGACTGATAGCCAGAAGGATGGCGTCCCTGGCGATTGTCGAGCGCATCATCAGTCCGCAACAGATCGGGGCTCTACAAGGCAGGTCAGCCGTCGATCTGACGACCTGCCTCACCCACGACATCGAGATGGCCCTCCTAAAAGGACTCACGGCGACACTTCTGACTATGGACGTAAAAGGGGCGTTCGACTCCGTCCTTCGGAACCGGCTCGTCATTAGACTGCGTCAGCAGGGATGGCCACATGGCCTGACCAGACTGATCTTTAGCTTCTGCTGCAACCGCACCGCTAGAGTCCGACTGGAAGAAAGCACAACGGAGTACTTCCCGCTGTCATGCGGGCTGCCTCAGGGGTCACCACTATCTCCCATTGCCTTTCTGCTCTACATCGCAGAGATACTTGAAGACGACCCGAACGCGCGATTCGGGTACGCGGACGACATCGCCACTCTGGCCATCAGCCCCTCCCTGGAGAGCAACGTCGCAATACTCAACCGAAGCGCAGCCGGCATTCTCAGATGGGGCTTGGAGAACAAGGTCTCCTTTGACCCGAGCAAGTGCGAGGTCATCCACTTTACTAGGAAGCACGGCCAGCCAGCGGAGCTGCCAGAGGTCCGGGCGGGGGATTTGGTGGTCAAGGCCTCGACGAAACCTGTACGCTGGCTGGGTGTCTGGTTCGACAAGAGACTGTCCTTCCGGCACCATGTCGACGCAAAAGTAGCTGCAGCAAAGAGGGCAGCTCAACATCTGAGACAGCTTACGAACACAAAGAGGGGACTCCCAGCGGCCGCCGTGCGAAAAGCCGTCGTCTCCTGCGTACTGCCGATCGCGCTCTTCGGCGCCGAAACATGGTACGCAGGTATCACGAAGCCGGCTTCGAGACGCCAAGCGGAGACAGACACGAATCCGCCTCTCCAAGGAAGACCCGTCAACACAGGCCAAAAGGGGCTCGTGCAGAAGATCGACAGCGTCATTACAGCGGCAGCAAGGGCCGTTCTGCCTGTCTGGAGGACAACGCCAACCAGTAGCCTCCTCCGAGACGCCGGCTTACCGTCAGCCAAAGTCGCCTTAGAGGGCGTCCGCTTACGGGCCGCAGTCCGACTACAGAGGATTGATCGCCGACACCCGCTAGTCGCGCGGCTCTCCCAGCAGGGACAGCAACAGACGAGACTACAACGGACGGCTGAACTTCTGCCAAGATGCGGAAGACCAGCGTTCCTTCAATCACAGTACCTGCCAAGCTCACAGGATCAGATAGTAGTTCAATGCAAAGAAGAGGCTGCGAAAGCTTTCGAGCGCTGGCTAAAGACAGTACCGGAAAGCCATATGATCGTCTTCTCGGACGGCTCCAGGGCGACGAACGGAGCCGTGGGGTACGGCTTCGTCATCTACCGAGACTCCAAACGCATAGCACAAGGGTGCGGCCGACTCGGACTAGCAGAAGTGTTCGACGCCGAGGTCGAAGGGGCGCGAACCGGCCTCAGAAGGGCTCTGCTCACCAATCGCGGTCATCCAATCCACATATGTATCGACAACACCAGCGTTATACAAGGCATCCGCGGCAAGGCGCCGGACTCGTCACAAGACGCGTTCCTCGAAATCCAAGAAGCGGCCAGGATATTTGATATACGGACGCACTGGTCCCCGGGACACCAGGGCATCGAAGGAAACGAGGCCGCGGACCGGCTGGCCAAAGAAGGAACGACACTGCCGGCGCGGATGGGTCAAATGGCAACACTAGCGGGCATCAAGCGGCTTGCAAGGGAAAAATTACAAAGCCAGCACAGGAGATGGTGGTATAAAGAGCGAAGGCCGCGGTACGCGGACTTGGGGCTTGAGGCAGCTCTGTCCAGCCCTCCTGAACTGGCCTTGCCGCGGGCTACGTTACATCACCTGCTGGCGGCACGATCGGGTCACGGGGACTTCGAGCAATATCACCGACGTTTCAACCACGACGACGCTCTAATGATGTGCTCTTGTGGAGAGGCGAAAGACGTGGACCACCTGGTCTACTGTCGACTAACGCTGGCGAGGAGGCAACGGTGGCCGACCCTCCACTCTCGCAGTATGCCCGAGCCCATAGGCCCTATGGGATCTCTCGAGGCCTACTTCAAGAGATTAATCACCGACCCACGAGGCTTCGAGGCCTTTCTCCGCGTGACGGACTTCTTCCAGAAGATCTGTCTGCGGTAGCAGCATCCACACCTACGTAGATGTGAGTGCGGACTACAAAGAACCTCCCGATTCCAAGGGACGATTTGGGAAAGAATGAAACTGGGGCACCAGCGGGAACCGGGGACAGACAGAACGCGTAGTGGCCACAAGGCATGATTTGGAGGACGATGTAAAGAGACGACGTACTGTAGAGTAGGTAGCCTTGGCTCACGGCCCTCCACGCCATATACCCTTCGGGAGGTCTGCGGTAAGGGCTCTAGCCCGGCCGCCACGGCGTTAAATACAACAACAACAACAACAAAATAAGGGGATCTAGCGGAGACGATGGTGTCATTTTCCGAAGTTGCAAGGTTGAGAATACGAAGGTTTTCTAGGCCTCATGGTGCCGGAACTATTTATGCTCAACATTGCCGGTTACATCGGCCATATTTGACAGCAACCTCATCAGGTTCAACTCTCAAGGTATATTAGCACTTGTAGTAAGCCAGTAGTAAGCCTACAGCCAGTTTTGGCGTCAGGTCATGATTGCTATAAATAATATGAGGGTTCATGAGCTCCTTTGCAACCTCGTCGTGTATACATTGAACTAGACCACACACAGTACGTCACCATGGAGATCTGGGCGTTTGCCAATTTGTACACTGCTGCTCCTACAGTCGGTACCGTTCAGCCGCCCTCAAGCACGGTGACTGAGCTTCCTCAAATATGCACTTGTACCATGGAGGCGGATGCGTTAACTTCGACTGCAATCCATACAACTGCACTTCCGGACAAACTGGAATCCACCCATCGATCCTGGAACGCTACTTTCACCCACAATACATCGAGCATCGGCACCGCGCTCAGTCTCGTGACGACGACGTCTGGTGGTGATGTTCAACCGTCGTGGACCTACCATAGGCCGACGGTGCACACGACCGCGGCGATCCCCGTCAGCGCAACCGGTTCACATGGCGCCGGCTGTGACCACCTTGCAGCCCTTTTTGTCTTCTTTCTTGGTGTATACCTATGGGACCGGCTGCATTAGATCCACTCGGCGCTTTCTAGCAACAACGATTACCAAAAGCTCACGCAAGAGAGGGAAGTGGTTAATACTGTGTACGGTGGACGCGTCCTTTGGCTTAGTCCCAATAAAAGGTGCGAGGTCTTCGCTCTTGGTGCCTAACGAGATCTCTTGCATTGTTGTACTACGTCCATGGTGCGGTATTAGGCGGGGTGGAAGTTGTACGTTTTCTTTCACGAATTATTATGCCTTCCTATATAAAACTCCCTCACCCCTAAGGGACCAGGGCTCAAGGGCAAGCCTTGGGGGAATACAGGCTCTCGAAATGCACCGAATCAAATGGACAGATCAACTTGTAGGATGGCGCGCAGCGAAGTCGGACATCAAGTAGTATTCAGAAATTGCCTGCTTATTTGTACGCAAGTGAAAGAATTGATGGATTTCTCTCTATTTTGTCCTAGCAGAACTTGTTACTGGCACTCCAAACCCAAGCTTCTCCTCTGTCGCGGCTCAGCCCACCACCGTATGGTCCAAGACCATCGCTTACGATGTTGTGTCGCTCTCGTGCATCCAGAAATGATCCAGTGCTGTGACGCGCGTTGTTAGAAGGCGTAAATATAAGACTTCCATTCAAACGGACCTCGTCGTTTTCTACCTCGGCTTTGGGCGGGGAGGTGGCTTCGGAACGCCCGTGGTATCGTACGCTCCGCGGCCTTGATCTACGTTTGTCTCGGAATTGTGGGCGGTAGCCATTTCTTGTTTATCGTGAGGCTTCGTTTTGCTTTGTAGGTGTGGGCGATTGTTCGCCGAGATCTTGTGTCGTCAGTTTCGTGGTCTTTATACGTGTTCGCCTCGACCCTTTACCCCTATTTGGTGCCAACGTTGAAAAATTCATTGGCCCCTTGCAAATTCGGTAGACCCGTTATGATAGGATTCAACAACGCTGAGATCCGTCAACCCATGCGTGATCCTGGTCAACCCATGGTTAAATTGCCATTGCCCCTGAGGGTCATCGTTCGGCTAGTCTCTTTGAAGGACCAAGTATTTCTAAACGGGCCACCTTAGTCGTGATGAACACGTCTACTAAAACGTAGTCATGTCATGATCGGGTGGATATGGAAAATAGAGAGCCTGAACGCCAGCCCGTGTCGGATGCCTTCGCTGTACACATTGTGCAATAATGAGCCTATGCGACGAGATGCTGCTGAACGGAATCGGTCAAAGCCGAGCGACTTTGTAGCCTGCTTTCTGTCTCTTGTCTCAATTATCATGAACATGACTATCTTCTTATGTTGTTCTTTGCTATCCCGCAGAAGAACCCAAGACACCCAGTCTGCTGGCTCCGAACTCGTGACAATTTCATTCATGTAATGCACTGATCTCAGCTCTTGCGAGCTCGAGTCTCGGAGGGGACATGCCGAGCATTGACTTCGTCGAGGTTCTCTCCTTCCTTTGGCCGGCTGATGCGTAGCTCGATCCCGCATCCCAAAATTTTGGTAGGCTGTCTTTCGCCTCAGCGTGAGAGTCTTCATCATCAAATATGGCAGCATTGAATCTGGCACTACGAAAAGGCAGGGACGATGCTTCGCATCAATGTATTTTACTCATGAGGTGGCATGATGATTTAATATCGCGATGGCTGTTGAGAGTCGAGGGTTGACTCCAAGACGGAACCGCTTGCGATCTAATTCTAAATCATTCGTGTGGACTCACCCAAGTCCAACCTATACACGTCGTGGGTGTTTTGTGATAACGTGAAAAGATCACTTTCACTGGCGCCGTTGGAATTGTTTTCTGGTTGGAGTATTTTGCATCTTCGTTTTATCGCAAACTCGGCAACTTTTGGTTGTTCTGCGTGATGTGGCTAGCAAATCTTGGCGAACGGTAAGTACTACACTCGCTTCGAGCTGACCCTGCCTCTTCTCTCCCGAATCAATTAGTTACTTCCGAGTTGTCTTAGTCGCAGGATTGATCGTGGCAAGAGCTGTTGGCTGATTTATGGTCCCGTAAAGTCAGCTACTTGGCAGGGTGTTTTTCTTCTTCCTCTTGCCGTCTTATTGTCCGCAAGGTTCGTCAGCGACTGGGACGTGCTAGCTTCTAGAATTGTACAGTCTGGATCATATGTTGCTTCCTCTTGGCAACACACTTCATCTTTTTGGACTTTACCCACATAAGCTGGACTTAAAATTATGCTCACTATATACATATAACCACGATTTAAAATACGAGAGTGACTACTATTAAGGCCGGTTATAGATACCTTAAAGTAGCTTTTAATTACACAGTACCCCTTATACTATCGTACACCATCACGACCCCCTATTTTAGTTTACAAACTAACCGCTATAGCCATTACTAAAGGTTTACGGAGGCCCAATACAGCAACTTTCGGCTTCTCAAATATTGAGAGTGTTTGTAAGAGAGAAAGTGACTTATGATCAAAACTGTAAGGCCGGACAACCATTTCGTAGGCTAGTTGTTGGGGTGAAGTGTTTATGCCAGGAGCAAATTGGTAATGAGACGCTATGCAGAGCTTCCACATTGTGCCACGTCGCTTCTCGGCAACTATGCAAACACCCATAAACATCCGAAATCAATCAACCATCAAATCTGAACACCCGAAAGTCAATTTTGGCTTCATACGTGGGACGCATCCAGGTACAGCTATTTTAGCATTCCCAGTAAACGCCCTGGACATCATCAAACATGGCAACTTCGAAGTTTGCGCGTTGCCGCTTGTGCCTCTGCCGGGGAAGATCGGCGGAAAGAGCAGAAATCAACTGCGGTACCGATTTCTTTGTTCACCATGACCAGGTTCCAGAGTCGGATGCGGCTGCATAGTGCTGTGGCGGGCTTACCAGCGTTTGGCCTTTTTCGATGTGGTATGATCTGGCCACCGCGCCGCATCACGATATGTCTTTTGAATGTTTTCTCGATTGAAGTCCACATGTGAGCCGGCTAATCAAAGTCGACTAATCCAAAATGACTGGTCGCCCCACAGGGGCCAGCAAGATACATTGCTAGCTACTCGAATTATATGAGGAAGAGTTGATGTTGGTCGAAGATCAACAAAGAGCTGCGGTGTACGAATCACAAGATACCAAATTGGCTCACTTCAGAGCCCAACACAAAGCCTGCAATGGCCTCTATTCCATATCGTCGTACTTGAGGGCAACAGAATCCCATCCCAATAGCTATTCCCGGGCAATATCATACATTAGATCACATTCGGATTGTAGATCACTCATCTCTCAACACCATGGCCCCCGTGTCGTCGGACAAGATCGTCTTCACATACGACAAAAAGGCCAAAGAGAAGGTCCGAAAATGTGGGGCAAGCGGGAAACGAAAGGCCGTGCAGCTGGGCGAGGGAGCCCAGGTGTTCTCGGCCGTCATCCATTTCAATCCGACTTACGGTCAATTAGATGGAGCCGTCCACGTACCGGACGGCCAAAGCATTCCCGACGTGAATCGTTTTGTAGGTCTTGGCAGAGAAGCCTTCTGCTGTTGGAATGAATGGCTTGAACTGACGTGCATCCGAACCAGCTGGCGGAACTCGTCAATGGGATGCACGGTTGTGGACGCCGACGCCGGGTTTCACGCCGTCGACGAAAGAGGTTAACGTCCGAACCTGGTCAAAGTCCGGCGGAGATCGGCGACAGCATCGAAGTGGGGGAGGTCGGAAGCAGCGTGCGGGGAACGCCCGATACCGTGGGAGACGAAGACGCAACGGCGAAGGAAGTCACAAGTGGGGAAGCGGATGCACCATACGAAGTCGAGGCCGATGACGGCGGCGCCGCTGTTTTTTGCGGCATCGTGTCGGGCTTCCAGCAAGACGAGGCTGATGTAGGCGAACCCCCCAGCAACCCAGCAAAACATGAACAACGGACGGATTTAGCACCACTCAACCACGATGTCGAGGGCATTATGGGGAACTTTATCATGAGCGACGCTGACACTGCTGGTTCGATCAACGCGGTTGAAGGAGGTTCCTTCCTCGGGCTACCTGAGATCGACTTGCGCGACCTCTTCGAGATGGAAGCTTGCGCGTCTACGTTTCTGCCAGTTGGTGACAGCGAGCTGGGTAAACAAGGACAGTCGAGCGATGCCATTCCTGATCAGGAAAGGTCGGAAGTGGAGACATCGGGCGAAACGCGGGAGAGCACGGCGGCAGCTGGAAGGGGAGCCTTCAGCCATCAGACGAAAGTTCAACAGACGCGAACAATTGCTGCCGCACGTGCTTACCGACCTGACAGGAGTTCTTTCAAAATTCACCGGTTCTTTTGTCGCGTTTCTCAGCGGATCCGGCAGGCAAGATATGGAGGGGAACTGCACACGGAACATGTCTAATAGACAATGCGAGGTGTCAAAGCTGTTTAGGGAGATCCTGGCGACGGCGTCATGCAGAGATCAAAGTGTGGGGCCGCTATGTACGTAGGGTGGCTTATGCGGTTCTGAGTTCGCCGAGACCCATTTACCTAATGGGAGAAAATCCGTACAACTCTAGACCAGAGTTGTGATGATCGTGTTTATGAACCCAAAGCTAAGCAGATAAGGTTGGGGCAAAGGCACTAAGTAATCTTAGTTGGGAAAATCTCAAGCAAGCAACGTCAATGGCTTCATACTCTTGTTGCCTGCTCCTACATTCAAGGTAGCTCAGATGTTCTCTTGTGCATTTCAATCAGCATGAGCGTCCATCCCGGAAGAGTACCCGATTCGTCAACCTTCGAGATGACAGGCTCCTTGTTCCCGAGCATACGTCGTGCCAGCGACAGGTCGGTGCTCTCGCAGATAGCCTGGGCCGCACGGCCGCTGCCACCGCCGACGTCGACTAGTAGTACACGGTCGGCGACTGACAGTTTCGATGCATTGGCGATCCACGAAAAATCATACACGCCGGTGATGGGCGCCAACGGTCCAACGCTGTCATTGCCCGCATGAATGACTCCTTCTTACTCTGGTCGTTGTAGATGTTCCACATTCATTATTCATCATGCCCTTAGTAAACGTGAGAGGAGTAGCCTGGTGGGCTTCGTACGCTTTCTTCTTAGCATGGCATCTTCCGGTCATATCTCGGATGGCCATGTCAACTTGAGTTTTGAATGCATTGAGGGACCTCTAGTAGGCTAGCCTTGTCCCCAAACTTTGTCGATAATTACCTGTCACGTAACAGGGATCAGAATCGCAACCCACGAAATCTCCTTCATGTGCTATATCACGTGTATATCACTTACAACTCGTATGTAAACCTTTTTCTTTTGTCTTTTTCCACTTTGATAGATTAAGCCACTTTACCACACTCCGTATTCCCATTGCTGCGTGCCATGACTCGTGGCAATACCCGTCCTATGGTTTGTGTATTGCAGGAACGCGACAGCATCTCACTTATAGTCGCAGTCAAGCATCCTCGATGTTCCAGGATGGTTCTTGCTTGATAGCAGAACTACATTCGGCAGGTTTACATTTGAGTTTTTGTATGAGAACAAAACTATCAAGGTTTACAGGCTACCGCGTCATTTCTTTTGCAACAGTTGTGCTTTCCTTGTGGTTCTTGATCCGATCCGTATACGTTTGTGTTGTATTCCTATCACAGGGATGGTTCGAACCGTGGGTGAGGAAGG